ACTTTTAGATATCCCACCTTCGTCTCCGATTGTCTTTTAGCCAATTATGATTTTGTAACTTTTTGGATCTTGCTCTAACTCTGTAAAATGTATGTTTCCTCTTGATCCAGTGGAGTGGCTGTCTTCACTCTGTGAATGTGGGTGTCTTCTCAGTTTTCAAGGAGCTCTGGTGGCTTAGTGCCTAAGGCATCTGACTGCTAACCAGAAGGCTGGCGGTTCAAATCCATCAGCCACTCCTCAGAAGGAAGACTAAGCAATCTACTTCTGTAGAGATACCGCCTTAGAAACCCAAGGAGGGGTCATTATGAGTTGGGACTGACTCTCCAGCAGTGAAATTTCTTTTTTTCGCTCGGTCTGCAACATCTCTATCTCCTCAGTAAACCTCTTTTGCTTTTACTTAAGCAGACTCCATGATGTTGCTCTAAACAATACAAAACAATATACAGTTCAGAGTAATCTCTCCTCTACTCCTGTCCTCCAATCTCTTATATGTGGTTATAGTTCATGGGTAATTTAGATTTAAGGATGAAATTTTACAAGTTACAATTCAGTTCAATGGCCAGACATTGCTACGTGCAAGACATTTAAGCTAGATTCTGTGAGAAAGATAAAAGATGAACAAAAACATTTCCTAACCTCAAGAAATATGTAGTTTGTAACAGTCTAGTAAGAGAAAAATATGTACACAAATAATTACAACTTCATAATATTTGTTGAGCATCTATTATATAACAAGCACTCTTCTAAATACTGAGGATAGGATACAGTAGTGGGAAAACAAACAAAGTCTCTGCTGTCATAGAGCTTACATTCCTAGTAGAGAAAGAAAGATATTAAACAAGTAAATACAATGCAAGGCAACTCATTCGACTTTGAGACTCTTAAAAGCAGTGTCTTCGGAGATATTACTGTCTTGTCCTGCTCTAATAAAGCATCTTCCCATTGCAGATCCCAGACTTCTCTTCAACTGTGCCTTGCAGTGGGGGAAATTATACCACTTTTATTGCTTAGAATTCTATACATCTTCTAATCTTCCTGAAACATGACTTTTTTTTTTTTTTAATATATCTTCAGTCCTTTTACTCATAAAATGTCAGTAATTTTCCACTGCCAATCGGATAAAACCCAAACTTCTTAGCCTGGTAGTCAACCTGCTTCATGATCTGCTTTCACAATTGACCTTCCATGCTATCTCCTGAAGAGCCCCAGGCTGAAGCCCAGCAACAGTAATTTTCTAGTTTCTCCCAAACCCTTGTGCTTATTCAAATCATAGAGAATAAGGAGTGGCAATAAATAGGCTCATTGGGAAGATTATGAACTCTGGAACAAGGCAGTGTTAGCTTTGGGGGCCATCTCTTAAGAGGTCTCCAATAACTAAGGGTCAGAAGTATTTTTCATTTGAAAAGTAGGGATTCTATCTAACAGCAGGAATGTTGTGATAATTAGGGAGAATTTAAGTAAATGCCTAGTACATAGGGGGTACTCAGCAAGGGGAGTAGAGTCCTTAGTTAGCTGGCAAGGCTCATTACTATGGAATCAGTGGTAATGAATTCCTTCTAAGCTCTGAACATATTCTCTTCTTTGGCACGTGTAGGACCTTGAGGGACAAGTAGGGGAAAGGTTGGGGTATTGAAATTCACTAGGGGAAAAACAACCCATGAAATGATGTCTCTTAATAATTCATAGCTTATTACTCCTTGTCACTAACTCTTTTAGGTTTTAAAGCTATTCAGTAAAACATCCTTAAATCTAGAAATTATTAAAGTTTACCAGCTTCAACACTCGTAACAGAGAACCACCACTGTGAATTAAATCTACGAAGTCTCAGAAACTGTCTTTGTTAAATAATGGGGATTAACTAGAGCATGAATAATTTTTTCACGCATGACAGAAACAAAACAAAAACCCAAACCCATTGCCCTCAAGTTGAGTCTGACTCATAGAGACCCTATAGCACAGAGTAGAACTGCTCCATAGGGTTTCTAAAGCTGAAATCTTTACGGAAGCAGACCACCTCATCTTTTTTCCACGGAGCAGCTGGTGTGTTTAAACTGCTGATCTTTTGCTTAGCAGCCAAATGCCTTAACTACTGCACCACCAGAGCTCCTTGCCATGTATGACAGGTTCCCTAATTCTACAAGCTATTACTCAGGGGTAAAACAGCTAGCTACACACTGATGGAGCATGGCAACTTCAAAGCAGTAACTCACAAGCTTAGCTGTACAACAGAATTGCCAGAGAGAACCTATGGTTTTTAAAAAAATACTGATGTCTGGGTCCAACCCACTGAACTTCTGATTTAACTGAAGAGGGCTTTGGCAACCGTATTTTAAAAAAGTCCCCCAAGTGATCCTAATATAAGGCCAGTGTTGAGAAGCACTGCTTTAGAAGAAGAATATGGTTAGGAGGAAGCATTTTGCCACAGAAAGGACAACACCTGGAACAGAAAGCTTTGGATTTTAGTCCAGATTCTTGGTGGGTCATTAACTTCTCTATATTTTCAAAGGCAAAATGAGATCTGACAAGGCTAGAAAGACAGAACAAGAAAAATGGATGTGAAACATTGTAGGGTCATTAAGTATAATGCAAATGTTTATTTAATACCACTACTCAGACTTTCAATCTTTTAGGTCTGGTTTGGTATCTTGAAACAGACCCCCCACCCCTACACAGAGCTAAAGGAAAACTTAAATTTTTCCATGTTAACAAATCCAAAATAGAATGAAAGAAGCAATTAGAAAGCAGATAGTGATTTCCTTTTAATGGGAAATGGTCCTAAAGAGATGGACTGGTAACCTTAGGAGCAAACTCTTAAATTAACTCTCATGTTAGTTAATTGCTATGTTAAAAAACTAATCAAAGTGAGAGGACGATCAATCTCAATTTCCTTATTCAAGTAAAAATTCTGTGCCAGAAGTGATTTAGCAGCCTAGATTTTCATCATCTGATAAAATTTGCCCTTTTACTTCAGAACTCTTTTGCAAGGTCTTCAGGTCCTAAATTAACTCCTACCAAAGTGAAAATACTCTGTTCCTTCAAGAAAGATGTCTCCAACACCTTATTCATGGCTTTTTAAATATAAATGCTTAATAAAATAATGAATTAGAGTATCATGATAGATAGTGAATTGAATGTCAAATCAATGTCTGGACTGAACTTTGGAAATAAGTCTGACCAAAAGAAAAGAGTGTCTCCTAATATAAACACTATGGTTCCGACACAGGGACTAAAAAAAGATTCACCTAAACATTTGTAATCAATTTTCTGAAATTACTATTTCCAATGGATATGAGCTGTGCATTGGGTAGCATAGAAATGCTTTCTGGGAGCAAAGTCTTTTCCTCTATCACTTTCTGTTAATGATGATTCCCCAATCTCTTCTTCCCTCCATCCCCAGCCAACAGAACACTTGTTATGATAGGATCTTGGGAACAAGAGCTGACATTTTCTCTGAGAACCCAGCCTAGTTCAGAGGTTCTTTCAGTTTCTCAACATTCAAGACCAGGAGTAAAAAGCTGTCTGATAAGAACTAAAGTTAACTGGCCTCTTCTTCAGTTTGTCCATCCCAGGCCCTGGCAAACCTCCAATGCTGACTCAGTTCTACCATCTGTCTTTTCCTTTTTTTAGCACCAGGTGCAATTAGTGTTGGAGGATATGAGAGCAGAGTTGATTAGTGCCACCCAAATCCATGGTCTATAATCTCAATGTTGTTCAAAAAACTCTCCATGCCCTTTCTTCCTGAATTCTCTAATAATCTTAGCATGGTCTTCCTGCTTCTATGCTTATTCTTTTCCAAACTATTTTCCACACAGCACCCACGGCTGTCTATGTAAAAAGACAATCTCTATCTCTACTAAACAGGTAGAAACAAGTACTGATTTGGGTGAAAGGAAGGGGAATATATCAAAAGTGAGTGATCAACATGGTGGCACTGAGGAAGAGGAAGACAGAGGTACATGGGAAGTACAGACAACAAAGGAAAAAAAAAAAAAAGAGACAACCATGTCATTTCATTGCTCACAACCATTTGCATTCCCATTGTGCTGTGAATAAAATCTAAATGCCTTTCATGTCTATAGGGTCCTGCATGTTCCAGCCCTGTTCATCCTCTCCAACCTCATCTTGGGCTTTTTTCTTCTCCTTACTCAGTATGCTCCAACCACACTAGACTTTTTCCAGCTCCTCATACATGCCAGGCTCATCTTTCCTGCCTCAGATTTTCTGCATATGCTGTCTCTGTCTGGAACCTCTTCTCCCTTCTTCTTCCTTCTCTGCCTTCTTCTATCTCTGCTTCTTTACTTCTCATTCTAATATGCCTTTCCAATCAGACCATTCTAGTCAAACACCTCTGTTAAAGGTCACCAATTACTACTGTTTCACCCAAAGCAATGGATGTCTTATCTTATTAGGCCTTCTCTGGAGCATGTGACACTGTAGACGGTTCAGTTTCTGAACCCTCAGGTTCCTTGGCTTTGATTTCACTATTCTCTCTAGGTGTTTTTCTAACTATTTAGATTTCCTTCCTAAGCTGCTTAAGTGTCACTGGATTCTATCCTTGGCTTAGAGTTCACTTCTGTATAATAAATACCCTTCTTGGACAATCTGATTGTCTCAACTCTAAAGGTACACTGATGATTGGCAAATCACCTCAGTCCCTGACGTAGATTTGAATTTCTATCTGCCTGCTGATAATTTGTAATTGTACAGTCCACAGGCATCATAAACTCAAGATGTCCACAACTGAATTCTTCATCTTCCCCCCAAAATCAATTTCTCAATCTCAGTTCATGGTGCCACCTTAGCCCAAATGAGCAAATGTGGGGATCATTCTGGACTCTCCTCTCTTCCTCATCCATTCTCATTTTTTTTCCCTCCCTTTGGATCTGGTACCAGAGATGAATTAATCATAATTCTTGGGTTGTGACATACTCTCATCATTTTGTTTACGATAGCCTTATGTTCCCATGGTTCCTTTTCTTTCTCCAGGCACAGCTGCCTACCTTTCCTTCTTTGAAGTGCTTCTTCAGTTGTTTTTGCATGGCGGTCAGCTTTTTGGACTGCACCCCACTGTAGGCCAGCAGCATGCCACCAAACTGCCTCTCAGTAATTCTCCCATCCACAGGGTCGTGGCGTTCAAACTGGAAGGGAAACCAGAAAAGTGTTCTTGGGATCAAATGGAAAACATTTTGCTATGGAATGCAGAATGATTAACTGTGTTGGACGGCAGAAAAGAGTTGATGTCTGGGACTGTATGAATTACAATTCTCAGCAAAACCTAAAACAATTATTCATACGAGAAAGAGAAGATCCAGGTCCTTGTCCCACCTTTGCCGCTATACTACTCTGGGCCTCAGTTTCCTCAGGAATAAAACTGAGCTGCTGCAACATCTCATCTACCTTACCGATCATGAGCATCCTGGTAGGAATGAAAAACTATTTAAAAACTCCATACAAATTCATGCCTTTTAGTAATAAATGCTCTCTGGATTGTGAATGCCCCTATTTCTCAGAGATGACTCAAAAGCTAATTATTATAAATGTGATCAATTACACATATGTAGAGTCATACCAGTTCCTCAATCTGTACTTATTAATACTGTTATATACTCACCCAGACCTGCAAGGATCTCAAGGAAGAATTTCAAGTTTTCCCCAAAGCAATAACCAAAAGCTAGGGACTTCAATAAAGCTTGCGGGGGAGAGAGAGAGGAAAAAAAAAAAAGCATACAGTGTAGAATGCTTTAATTATGCTTGCTCACCACAAAGTTACTGAGAAACCATTAAACATATTTAAATATGCAGATGGAAAGGTTAAGTATAAAGGACCTCTCACTAATCTAAGTGATTACCAGAAAACTTGTATTTTCATTTTAAAATGAAGAGAGTCAAGAAAGTTGTCTCAGTCCCAGTTGCAGTGTTAATGACATTTATAAATGTACAAGAAATAAATGGCTAAAGATGTACCTAGAAACCATTTAGAAAGCAAAACAATTTTAAGATGGTAAAATTTCTCAGTGGTTTTACTGGAAAACAACGGTTACCAGGAAACTTTCCGACTCCTCTATGGCAGGGCATAATCCTTCTCCTAAGGGGCATACATCTGCATAATAAGATGGTGCTGTTGTTATGTGCCTTCAAGTTGGACCCGACTCATAGTGACCCCTCCTTGGGTTTCCCAGGCAGTATCACTACGGAAGTGGATTGCCCCATCTTCCTTCTGAGGAGTGGCTGGTGGGTTTGAATTGCCAGCCTACTGGTTAGCAGTCAAGTGTCTTAGGCACTACCCTACCAGAGCTCCCAAGATGGTGCTAAGTAAGGCCATGTCTATAAGCATTTCTTGAATGTCCATCAGTTGCTTAGCACTGTGTTAGTCATTGTGAGACACAGGAGAGGAGTTTTTGCCCTTAGGGATCTCATCAACATATGAGACATAAAATAAGGAAGTGTGTAGTCAAGAGTTAAATTTTCATTTGATTCTCAATCCCTCAGTTAGTTAAATTGATTGTTGTTGTTATGTGCCGTCGAGTCAAACCCGACTCATACACACCTTAATTTATTACCTCACTAGTGAGACTGTATCCGTGGGAAAGACACAAAAACTATATTTTAACAGTAACAGCCATTTACCGAGCAGGTACTATGGGCCATTTACTTAACCCATGTATTTTTAAATTTAATCACTACTTTATGGAGCAAATGAAGAGCTCTGGTGCTGTGGTAGTTAAGGCATTTGGCTGCTAACCAAAAGATTGGATTCAAACCCATCAGTTGCTCTGCAGAAGAGAGATGAGGTAATCTGTTCCCATAAAGATTTACGGCCTTTGAAATCCCAATGGGGGTTGCTATGAGTTGGAATTGACTCTATGGCAATGAGTTTGTTTTTTTTGGGGGGTTTTGTGGAGCAATTATTATTAGTTCCATTTTACAGATAAGAAAACTGAGGCAATATGTGTCTATATGTTGTAGAGCTGGCATTCAAATCCAGCTCTATCTGGGTCCAAAGACTTCTCTTTCGTTCTTCTTAAGCAGTAATGCATATATATACTTCAGGTTAGTACTATGTTGTTTTGGGTAAACTTAAGATGGCCATGAAACTTAGTCATATTTAAGTGAGGACCAAACTATTTTCATAGAAACCAACATCATCAATATTAACTGAAGGCCTTTTTTTCAACTCAACCACCCAATATTTCATGTTTGTCACACCATCACTTCTACAAAGCTGATTAATTTTGACAATACCAAATACTTTCAAGATTCAATTTGTTTGATTTATAGTTCAATTTACCATCCTGAAACAAAATAGAGAACTGATAAAATTTTGCAAATGGGCACACTTTTTGCAGTGTTTAAGTCAGATTTTCAGTGAAATGTGTTATGTGGGCAAAAGCTGGAGATGCACAGTTTATCTATGGGCTCCTTCAAGGGAAATGAAACAAATCTGTGGTCCCTGCGCTCTAGCCTAAGGTTTCACAATTTAAAGAGCTTCATTTTACTCTTATCTGGGACAGAACACAGCTGTGTGGAAATCCCTTATGTTTGAATTATTTGAGTTTTCAGTTTTACCCCACAAAATCGATCCACGGTTGAAATATTTCTTGCTCATTTTGTTTGGCAGCAGCTGCAATTTGCTTAAGTCTTATGAAAGGCCCTTATTTCTCTGTTCTCTTTAGGGCATAAAGCCTCATTTTGGTTATGCTTCACAGTAAAGATCATTTCCAGTGGGATCCCCAAGTAACAATTCCAATCTTCAAATTAGCATTTCACCTAAAGTTCTTTAAAAACTCAGACTTGTTTCTGGGAATGGGCTCTTTATTATGTTGAAAACTGACTGTAACCATAAAGGGTGAAAAAACTATAAAATTCAGGTCATCCGTGTAGTATGGCCTGCTTCAACGTTTACTACAAAGCTCAAAGCCTTTTCAATGATTTAAAAGCTGCATATGCAGCAAGTGAAGGTGACTGTACAAGAAAAATTTTTTGCAAGTAGGGGTTGGTTCAAATTGAGGGCAAATTTACCATAAATTAAAGGCCAAGCAGGAGTTGTCTCTAAATTGGGCGTTGATAACTGGGGTCTGCCTGTATGTCCTCTGTAATTTGATTTTGGGTAGCAATTCTCCTTTTAGGGTTTTAGGCTCTTTTGAGGCAAGACTGTTTTATTTCTGAAGTCTTAAACATGGCTAGAGATGGTGTGGGAGAGTTGTTTCTCCTTACAAATAAATTGCTAAAGGAAATGGGTTTGAACTAATGTGCTACTAATTTGTTAACTGAAAGCCTATATGTTAAGGCTGGAGAGCTTTCCAGGACCTTCTTTAGGGCTAAAATTTCAAGGGCAACAGCTAGATATCATGTAGCCCCTAGGGGTGAAGTGTGTGTCTTAAGGTCAGACCATTCTATGGATGCATTCCTGAGGTGTTGTACCCCAGTCATACATGCAGTGACTGAGACATGGGGATCACGGGGGGAGTCTTTGGGGAAAAAGACAGTTTGTTACAAAATTATCACAATATAAAATGCTTCTAATTGTATATTTGGAAGCAATTCAAATAATTTGCTTGCATTTTAGTCAAATGTCGGTAAAGCTTCCACTTCAATGACAAGGAATTTTATTCTATTCAATCCCATGGCACAGAAAATGTGCATCCCAGTACACCATCCACCACTTGCATTGCTCTTCTGAGTCTAGGAGCTGAACAGCCTAGTGTCTCCCCCTCTGCAACCATTGCCACTTTCTTGACTGGGTACAAGCTGTTGTCTTTCTGTTGATCCCCAGGGGGCTGCAGGCAGGCAAAGAGGGGCCAGAGCAGAGAAGCCAAAAAACCGTCAGCGAGATTTCTCCTGGCTTTCTGTCTACACTGTGCCTCCCTGCCCCTTGTTGAGAGAAGAAATAGCCTTTTCGAAGACAGATGGCTACACATATCTAGATGAAATAATTTGAAGAAGATGGGAAGCCAGGAAGAGAAGAAAACATGCATCACAAACAAATGCCAAAAAGAAGATAAGAAAACTAGCAAAAGGAAAAAGAAATTTGTACAAATGTACGAATGGGTCTTGATTTATTAAAGACTTCTGAGGCTAATGCATTCCAACTAACTGTAAAACTCAATCTTATTTTCCTTCATTCGATTATCTTTCAGAGACTTTATCTACCCCCTAGAGTAAATCCTCCCCTAATACAAGTATTTCAAAATGGTAGATTTGTTGCTAGGCTTTTTCGAGCCCCTGAACCGCACAATGCAAATAACGCATAATGATCCCAAGTCACTGAGCTGAACACACCTATGTCTTTCAATGTGACAGTGTTTGGCTCTTGAGATCTTAGCCATGCCACTGCTTCTACCATCAGGAGTCTCAGAACAACTACCCGTTGTGCTCATCAAAAGGACAGGTGATTACAGGCAGAGCTCTCTATTGCAAACCCACCCAGTAAGCACTGCATCCGCGTTTCATAGTTTAAATATGGGATCTATGTTTCTGCAATTGGCAGGGGACGCCAGAGAGTTACAGGTCAAATTTCCAGGAGACTGAGTTTTCTTGATCTTTAAATATAAGATGCATCTTCACTGTCAACACTAATACGGTTATATGGTTGTCTTTCAGCTCTCTGGCTCATGCTGAGGAAGAGGGTGTACAATTTGGGATGAAGGTAGCATGGTTTAGTGCCCTGATTATGAGGTCAAAACAACCTATTAGAGTCTGGAACTGTGAGATTGTAAACAACCAACCTAAACTGACAGACTTCAACTTCAAATCTAAAGGTTCCTTCCATTTAAAAATTGTTTTTAAGGAAGTCAGGCTGGTAATCAAATCAAGTGACTAAATGACATGAGTATCAATATACAGTTTGGACAGGAAAAGTTAACCTTCCAATTTGACAGTCTAAATCAGAAAGATAATGAGAGTGATGCATGAAGTGATACATTATACAGGATAATAAAAATGAAGGAATATTTGGCTGAGGGTATGGGGGGGAAATATTTTAGATCCAGAACAAACTGTTTCAAGGTTTGGTAAGTTTTGGTTTCATTTTAAAAACCAAAACAAAACTCGCTGCCATCAAGTCTGCCCCGACTCATAGCAGCCCCTCCTTGGGTTTCCCAGGCAATATCTCTATGGAAGTAGATTGCCCAGTCTTCCT